CCAGTTCTCCCTTCTGTTCTGAGCATAGAGCAGTGACTGTCAGTCAGTGGCTCTTTGCTCTGCCCCTCCAGTGCTATTCTTTGTGCAAGACTGTGAAGAGAGAGGGAAGGAATAGCTCAGGTTCTCAGCACGAAACTGAGCCAGCTGTTGGTTCAAAAATCTGGGTGGATCCCAACTGTAAATCTGGGATCATTCCCAAGCATAGACCAGCTGAGTGACATCTGGCTTTAGCCTGCTGTCAGCTGAAAATGGGTCACAGGAGTGCAGAACAAACAGCACTCCTGTGATCTATAGGAGATGTGTAGCCAAAATAGCTTTAGCTATACTTCTTCTTTAAGATATGGAGACATTTGTGGCTGGAAGCATTGTGCAAACTTTTGGCACTATGTAAATCTTGTATAATAATAATAATAATCAAACGTGTTATTCTATCAGCCTGACTAAAGAAATTAAACCAATCAGGAGACTATAATGGAAAGGCAATTCTTAACGCGTAACTCATGCCAATGCAATTGAAGTAATCTTAGATAAGTAACGTTGCTATGGAATCCTACCCAAACACAAGGTTTTTAATTTGAGGCACATAGTTTTGGTGACATGAAATATCCATATGCAAAGAGATCTTGTCTAGCCTATTTATTCTGCAATAAAGAACAGGTTGTTCTGGGAAGCAATGTGATAAGCAATGAAATTAGCATTCCAAAAACTACTTTATACAAGCAGATTTTCAAGTAGTGTGTGGGAATACAAAACAATACAACAATAATGCTCCATAAAAAGAGGGATTATTGGATGCTTGGGTAGTTGTTTATTCTACAACTACAACTCCACAACAAGCCTCAACTTAGCAGTGCTTGCTGCTGTCTCATATACAGTACCTCAGATTGTCTCCCAAGCATCTGATGTCTATGGAAAGATCCAATCAAATTCAAAGTTAATGCCTGTCTTTGTTTTTTGAAACTTAGCATGCAAATGTTGTAAAGTAAACTGTAATAACATATCTCTGTCTGTACCCACCCTTGTGCTGAGCTTTTTCAAACCTTTTTAAACACTTCGTAAAAGAAAATACTGGAAGACATAAAATAGTGTAGTTGTATGGGACACAAATGTTGTCGTTCGAGAGGAACATAATGGACACTGATATTTTCATTGTGTCAATTGTTACCAAAGAAAGGATATACTGTAATGTGAATTAAACATACTGTCATTTCCTTTTGCATAATAAGGCACTATAAAGCTTTATGAATATATAAAGCTATATAATGGGTAGTATTATTGGAGTTTGTTAAAGGCCACTCAGTGTTAATGAGGAGGTGGAGAATCAGCTCCATCACCGAATTAAAGGGCTGCAAGGGCAGGGACAGTGATAATAATGAGCAACTTTAATTACTCTGAAATTGACTGGAGTAATAGCACAGCTGAAACAGTAAAATGGCAGACATTTTTAAACCTATTACAAGACAAAGTTCTGTTACAATTTATAGAGGCCCATGACTAGAAATGATGCTGTGCTGGACCTTCAAATCTCAAACATTGTGAAGCTTATTACTAATGTTCATATTAAAGAACATCTAGATAGCAGTGACCATAACATTATTTAATTTACTACTAGCTAAAAACAACAAGTCCATACTGAAAAGATAAAAAGATTAATTTTATGAGAGGTAATTTTCCAAGGATTTTCCAAGAGTAACTCTGCATGATTTAGAATGTGAGAGAATGTTGTCATTAAAGAATACAGAACAGAAATGGAAATGCAACAATATTGACTGAATATACTGTAAACATACAGCAAAATATATTCCTGTGGGCATTACACCTAAAAGGCTAAAAATAAAACCTATGTGGCTCACGTCCAAAGTTAAAATAGCTATAAATAATAAGAAAAGGGGGGCAAGACTGAGCAGTGGATGTAGTTGGATACTTCCCTCGACCTCTCCACCGGGAATCCGATCATTTATCCTGCAGGAACTCATATCCCTTACCCAAGTGCTGTCTATATAGTACTGGAGGCACCACTCACCCCCAGGCTCCCAGTTGCAGGTTCCCACGCTGCTGCTCACCATGTCTAAATGGCTTAAAGACTCCCGCTCCTCTGCTGAGACTGTGGGCCAAGATAGCACCCTCCTGAAGTGCTCTACTAAGGAGAGACAGAAAGAGGCCATGTAGAAACTCTTCTCTAAAGCCCTGATGAAGAAAGCATTGGCCCCAGAGGATTCCTCCTTAGGCCTTTCTGAAGCAGACAACACTGTCCCACTGGAAGATGTCCCTGAACCCATGCTAGACTGATACACAGTGAGTACCCCAGCCAATGTTTTTGCTATACCTTCAAGGTCTTCTCTGACAACAGAGGAACTGGAGCCAACAGTATCTACAGTCACCTCCTGTAATGCCTCAATTACTGCCCTCACTAACAACAAGATCAAAGGCGCTAAAGCTGAAATCACATTTATCTGGCAAGATATGCAAAAACTGAGGGAAAGCACATCTGCACTGGAGGAGTGAGTCAGTTCTATGGAGGATGATTTGACACCATTATGGAGGGATGTTAGCTATAATACCCATCTTACAGCTCAACACACAACTTGCCTTGATGATCTTTAAAACAGGGGCCTTGGGGGACACGAGGCCCACTCTACACTGCTTTGGGGGACACAAGGCCTGTTCTACACCACCTTGGGGGACACAAGGTAGTTTCATAAGCTTTAAGGGGGCATGGTTGAGGGCAGGGATGGGGGCGGGGTTGGATGATGGGCCAGGGGTGGGGTTGGAGGCAGACCTGGGCAAGGTTGGGTGGGGCAACTGGTGGAGAGTAAGGTTTGTGCCTGGCTAGTAGGTCTAGACTCGAAATTTTAAGCCCTGCTCTAATCAATATATTATGTATCAACATGAAAGAGCCCAAAGATTTCAGTTCACTGTTTTACCTTTTAAGAAGTGGCTGTATAACAATTATGGAGAGTAAAGTTAGATGTATCCCTCTTTAGTGGGGTTGGACCAAATTCACGTTATCTGCCTACCTCTCCACAATAATACAGCTTCCAAGATAAATTCCCTGCAGAAGCATATTACTTGAGTTCTAAATCAAGAAGAACATAGCCAGCATGCCTATCATGACCAGCACAGAGGGGACCTAATATACCCCCACAGATGCTGACATGCAGTTCGATGTCCAATATGACACCAAGAGATTATGTCATCTGTGGCCCAGCCACCGCGCATGTGCAAAATGTAACCACATGCTGGGTTAACCTACATGTGGGGGATTTGAAACCCTTGTGCTCACCCCCCAGACCTGTCACTCCAGATGCCTAGGCATCCATTTTAAATGTAAGCACACCCTATGTGTACCTACTGTTATGTGAAACTATGTTCTGTACAATTGTATTGTTTGTTAATATTGTACTATATTATTTTAACTATTAGAAGAATATACTACGCTATGCTCTCTTGCAGTACGCGTTGACCTACGGATTGGGACCTACGTACTGCATTTCACCTAGGTTGGGTGCATTGAGTGTATATAAGTTTTTGTGTGCTAATCCTCTCATTTGGGGTACTGCTTTTTAAGGCATCTCACTGTATATGACACCAATGTGTGTACATTCTAATTAACTTTTTAATCGCATGTTTTATTGAAATACGGTAATACAATTTTCTACAATTGTTTAATTTTGTCTCATTATGTGCCAGTAAAGTCCAGCTGTTGCTGTGGGGATACTCCGACATTCCTTTCTATTTACACATAACTGGATGAGGCACGGTGGAGGTCTTGTATTTGATATTGATTGGCGAAGGTAGTTCATAAATTGGTTCATAGAGACCAATCGGAATGTATCTCGACAAAATCCGCTACACAGAATTTCCGCAGGCTAATTTTGAACTTAAAGCTACCAGTAGACTACCTGGTAATAGAGCAAATTTGCTCTTTAGCTGCCGCTAAGGCTTTTAACGGTGTTGATTGGCCCTATTTGTGGAAGTTCTTGGCATGTTTCGGTCTAGGCTCTAATTTTATTAAGTGGATTAAAATCCTCTATGCTGTCCCGTCTGTCAGACTTAGGGTGAATGAGGAGTTGTTGGATGTGTTTCCCATAGCAAAGGGGCGGGGTGCTCTGTCAACGCCTATGGTAGTGAGCTCTGTAGGTCCACAGCTTGGGGTTCCCCAGGGCGCAGAGTCTAAGACCCAGCCTGCTTGCTCACCAGAGCCCCTGTTGGTGGGGATGGACTTGCAGCAGGCTGGGACCAGGTCGCGGCCCCCAGGTACACCCAGCTGAGGTGGAGGAGACCGCTAGCGGGAGCAGGGTACAACAGGAGAAGGCACGGGAATCCAATGGGCAAGCTGAGGTTAGGACAGGTGGAAAACAAGCAAGGTCAGGAATGAAGCTGGGGTTTGTACACAGATAGACAACACAGGATTCACAGTGTGAAACACATGGGAGCTCCAACAACGTGAAGTTGCTAAGGCAAAGTGGGACAGACTGAGCATGTCTTAAATAGACATGCCAGCTAGGAGGCAGGCTAGGAAGTGATTGAAGGGAAGGACATAAAACCCAGAGCATAGCAGACGATGCCCACAGGTGAGCACAGACAAACACACATGTGAAGGAATCAAGAGCAGCAAGAAGGTAAGAATAAACACACAAGAGGCTGCAGGCTAACTTGTGACATTCCCGTTGTCACCTTTGCTGTTTGCCCTAGCCCTAGAGTCCTTGGCTGCTCATGTCCAAGTGTCTACGACCACTGTTGAATTTGTGAGAGGTCAATGGGTAGATGTTATGTCACTACATGCAGAAGACACACTGATTTATTTGGATACCCAATGTCAGGGCTCCCGGGTATGACCAGAGGTGTGTGACTGACGCAGGGAAACGCAGACTTCAGATATGTTATAAACAATGTAATTTATTAACACTAACCATACAAACATAAACGCAGTGCAATACTAAAACATAACACATTGCAAACAAACCAAACCAACCACCCACAGATAACAGTACATACAATGCAAGCGTCGTCAGGCAGGCCGGGTCAATATCAGTCGGGCAGGTAGGTACAGGGGGAGCAAGCGGAGAATGGTCGGGGTCACAGGCCAGGTTCAGCAGGTAGCGGGCAGCGTGGTACAGAGGGTCAGGCAGAGGAGAATGGTCAGACAAGCCAGGGATCAGAGCAGGGTCAGCAGAGAATCAGACAGGAACAGAGAGCAGGAACAGGATACAGGGCCCAAGAGAAACACAACACCAAGGCAGAGTCTGCAGGTCTGAATGTCCCTTAAATACACCAGTATAATTAGTTCCAGGTGTTTGACTGGCTGCAAGGTTGAGTCTCTGATTGCTGGGAGCACCCGCTGGCCAGCCCTGGTACTGCAGCTCATAAGGCAGCTGAGTCCCACTATTGCTGGCCAGTCCATTCCTGACACCCAAGGACCATTACATCATCTTATTGATGGCTTTGGAGCCTTGTCCAGGTTCTCCATTAATGGAAATAAATCCATCCTTACAGGATACAGGATTAGATAATTAAGTTTTTAAATGGATAGAAAACTAGCTTAAAACCGTATTCAGTAGTAGTAATTAATGATTCATACTTTTAATGGTCTAAAAAATTCTAAGTGATGTACCCTAAGTTTCAGTCTGGGAACCCATACAGTACTTTTTAACCTATTTATGCTAGAGAGTTTGGGATTAAAAGTACCATAACAGTAACACACAACAGTAAAATCAGTCTGTATGTGTAGTAAAGCATGCTTGTCATAGTCATTGTGGAACTTTGGGGGTTAATCCTCTGCATTGTGTAAAAAGGATGTTTGAACCTGTCTTCTCTGATCATCCCCTTTTATTCCAAAGTCCCCAATCCATTTGCTGATAGAACAAAGCCTTGGGAGCAAGCTGCACATACTCAGTTTGGTGTGTAGTGCTAGAAATTTTTTTTTGTGAGAGTGCATGCGATCAGCACAGGGCCAATCATCACTGTCCATACAGAGGGTCAGGGGTCCTGCAGCCTCATAGGACAATCCGGGTAAAATGAAAACTCCTCCTACAAGCTTTAACCAGTGCTGTGCTGGACATTGATAGAAGTCACAAGACTGCCCTAGCTGCTGATGAGAAAAGCTATTTATCAGTTTACTAAAATAATTTATTTTTGATGTTTTGTGCACTTTTGGAGACCAGGTATGGTGAACACAGGGTCAATAATTGTAAAGTTATGCATGTGGGTGCTAAAAATATGCATTTATCATACGTTCTAGGAGGATAGCATCTGCAGGAATCAATGGTGAAGGATCTGGGTGAACCAATGGACTGCAGACATAGTACAGGAAATGACCAGAGACTGCAGATGTACTATAGAAGATGACCAGAGACTGCAGACATAGTTCAGGAGATGACCAGAGACTGCAGACATGGTACAGGAGATGACCAGAGACTGCAGACATGGTACAGGAGATGACCAGAGACTGAAGACATGGTACAGGATATGACCAGAGACTGCAGACATAGTACAGGAGATGACCAGAGACTGCAGACATAGTACAAGAGATGACTAGAGACTGTGGACATAGTACAGGAAATGACCGAAGACTGCAGACATACTACAGGAGATGACCAGAGACTGCATCATACAGGAGATGACCAGAGACTACAGACATAGTATAGGAGATGACCAGAGACTGCATAATACAGGAGATGACCAGAGACTGCAGACCTTTGGGGAGCAGGTACCCGAATTTGACAGGTACCCGTGCTCCCACTTCCGCTGCGATTGCCTAGGCGTTCAGAAGCAGAAGTTGTCCTCCCTTCCTCCCTGTAGTCTTCTGGGACACGTAACAGGTCCCGGAAGACTACGGGGCCATTCACAATGCGCAGTGCTTCTCACGTATGCTCACAAGCTGTCACAGCCGGGTGCCCACACTAAAGATGCCGACGCCAGGGAGAGAAGACGGCCGGTGAAACCAGCGGTGGTGAGGACACCGCTGGACCAAGGAACAGGTAAGTGGCTGTACTTTAAAAGTCAGCAGCTTCAGTTTTTGTAGCTGTTGACTTTTTTTTCAGCTGGAATTTCACTTTAAGGGGCAGATGCTTTGGGCCCTGCCTGGTGCTGTCACAGAAGAGCCGAGTGGCCGGCTTGGTATTCTAACACAGTGGCAGCGATGGGGGGAATACCAGGCCGGCCGTTCCATATTCGCTCCATAAGATGCACAGACATTTAACCCCATTTTTTTGGAGTGAAAAATACGGTACTTTCTTGTATTAAAAGGGATATAGACTTCAGAGAGAGTGACATCATTTTGTATTGGTACAAATCATTAGGAAGACCTCACATGGAATATACAGTTCATTTTTTTTGGGCAGAAAGTTCAGAGAAAATCAAACAACCTGATAAGAGTCATGGAGGAGCTCTGCTATGAGGAAAGATTAGCTGAGCTGAATGTATCCTCTCTTGAGAACAGGTGATTGAAGTAGCATATGATCACTACAGATAAATACATAAGTGGTCCATATAGTGAAATTGATGTCCAGTTATTCACTTTCAAGTCATTACAGGGGACAAGGGGTACTCTTTATGTCTGGAGAAAAGATGTTTAACCTTCACATATGGAAAGGCTTCTTCACGGTAAGAGCTGTAAAAATGTGGAATAGACTCCCTTATAAACTATTTCTGGCCAGCTCAGTAGATTGTTTTAAAAAGAGCCGGGTGCATTCCTAAATGCACAAAACATAACTGTATACTATTTATAGGTAATACAGCAAGAGTATATCCCCTCCTGGGGAATCAGGAAGGAATTTGTTCCCCCTCAAATTGGATCATGCTTTACTAGTTTATGTCTTGTTCAACTGCTGGTATAGGATAATGCATATAAAGGTTCTCTATTTTGCTTTTTTTCTTTATTTTTCTTCTGTATTGGTTACACTAGATCAACTTTAGACCAAAAAAGTCAAAAAGAAGAAAGATATAAATACTACAGGCATTTTTCATCTGAATAAAGAAGAGTTAAATTCTGAAGAAGTGAAAACGAACAAAGGTTTGAAGTGTGTTTCAAAAATATGATTAAATACATTTTTAACATATGTAGACATTCATAAATTTATGAAGCAAAATCTATAAAAAAAAACCTTTTGCGTTGAATTCTATAATGAGGAATTCTAATTTAACTTCCCATTTTCAACATACAAACTTGAGAAATGTGTCTCTGTTTAATTCCTCTGGGATTTCCAACCCACACATTGGGACATGAATGTTGGGACATGGTACTGCAAGATTTGGAACATTTTACGGTGAAGAATCCTAGGGTTGACCCAAAAATTAAGAAGGGAATTGAAAGTATTCTGAAAAGGATCTTGTTATAAGACCTACTGATAAGGAAGGGGGGGGGGGGGGGGGTTATTACAGTACTTGATAAGGAAGATTATGTTAAATTGAAGAAGTTGGTAGAGAGGGATTATAAAAAAATGTATACTTAAGAAAAAAGAAAAGGAATACCTTATTCCTTCATCTCCCTGTGATATATTAGGAAAGATTACAGTTGCAAGAAAAAGTATGTGAACTCCTTGGGATTACGTGGAGTTTTGCATGAATTGGGCATAAAATGTGCTCTGAATGTCATCTAAGTCACAACAATAGAAGAACACAGTTTGCTGAACATAATACTACACAAACATTAGATGTTGCCATGGTTTAATTGCACATAACATGTAAACATTCACAGTGCAGGGAGGAAAAAAAGTATGTGAACCTTTGGACTTAGTAACTGGTTGACCCTCCTTTGGCAGCAATAACCTCAACCAAACGTTTCCTGTAGTTGCAGATCAGACCTGCACAACGATCTGGAGTCATTTTGGACCACTCCTCTTCACAAAACTGTTTCAGTGTAGCAATATTCTTGGGATGTCTGGTGTGAATCGCTCTCTTAAGGTCATGCCACAGCATTTCAATCGGGTTGAGGTCAGGACTCTGACTGGGCCACTCCAGAAGGCGTATTCTGTGCTGTTACAGCCATTATTTTGTTGAATTACTTGTATGCTTTGGGTCATTGTCCTGTTGCATCACCCATCCTCTGCGGAGCTTCAGTTGGAGGACAGATGGTCGTACTTTTTCCTGTAAAATGTCTTGATAAACTCTGGAATTCATTTTCCCATCAATGACAACAATCCGTCCAGGCCCTGAGGCAGCAAAGCAGCCCCAAACCATGATGCTCCCTCCGCCATGTTTTACAGTGGGGATGAGGTTTTGATGTTGGTGTGCTTTGCCTTTTTTTCTCCACACATAGTGTTGTGTGTTCTTCCCAAACAACTCAATCTTGGTTTCATCTGTCCACAGTATATTTTGCCAGTAGTGCCGTGGAACATCTAGGTGCTCTTTTGCAAACTTCAAACGTGCTGCAATATTCTTTTTGGACAGCAATGGCTTCCTCCGTGGTGTCCTCCCATGTACTCCATTCTTGTTTAATGTTTTCCTTATTGTAGATGTGTCAACAAAAATGTTAGCATGTGCCAGAGATTTCTGTAAGTCTTTAGCTGACACTCTTCTTCTTTACCTCATGCAGCATTCTGTGCTGTGCTCTTGCAGTCATTTTTACAGGGCGACCACACCTAGGGAGAGTAGCAACAATGCTAAACTTTCTCCATTTGTAGACAGTCTGTCTTACCATGAACACATGAGCATCAAGGCTTTTGGAGATACCTTTGTAACCCTTTCCAGCTTCATGCAAGTCAACAATTCTTGATCGTAGGTCTTCTGAGAGCTTTTTTCTGCGAGGCATGGTTCACATCAAACAGTGCTTCTTGAAACCAGTAAACCCAAAACAGGTGTGTGTTTTTTAAGGGCAGGACAGCTGTCAGCAACACATCCAATATCATCACACTGATTGGAGTCAAGGTTGGCTCACTCCTGGCTCCAATTAGCTCTGGGAGAAGTCATTAAGCTAGGGCCTCACATACTTTTTCCTCCCTGCACTGTGAATGTTTACATGTTATGTGCAATTAAACCATGGCAACATCTTATGTTTGTGTAGTATTATGTTCAGCAGACTGTGTTCTTCTATTGTTGTGACT